GACTTCAACTCCCAGAATCCCCCAGCCAGCATCTTTAAGTTGGGGGGATTTCAGCGCTGGCTGGGGAATTCTGGGAGTTGAAATCCACCCATCTTCAAGGCGCCAAGGTTGACCAACACTGCTTTAAAGACTCACAACCACAACTGAGCCCATTTTGTTAAACGTTTCCATTTGTTAAGCGAGACATTCATTAAGTGAGTATTGCCCAGTGTTACGAGCTCTCTTCCACCATTGTAAAGTGAATCCTTGATATCGTTATGTTACTAACAGAGCTGTTAAATGAATTTGGCTTCCCCACGGACTCTGCCTGTGAGACGGTCGCAAAAGGGAATCATGCAACCCCCCTGGGACAATGCAACCGTCATAAGTCCATGCCAGTTGCCAAGCCTCTGAATTTCGATCACGTGATTATGGGGGGGGGATGCTGCAACGGTTGTAAGTGTGAAAAATGGTCATAAGTCACTTTTTTCAGTGCCGTTGTAACTCCGGTCACTAAATGAACGGTTGTAATTCGAGGACTAGTTGTATGTCAAGGCATGAAAGAAAGCTCAGTTTTCAGTGGCTAATAAAAAGTAGGAAAGCTTTCGTAGTAAAAGGAATGATATCTAGAATATGATCGGTGTAAAAACAACATTGAAATACTGAATAATTTTATAATGAAAGATTCTCATTCAACAAAATGTATGGATTATTATTAGAAGCTTGTCAAAGGTAAATATGTTGAATATTATTTTATTTGTATTAAAATGTGATTAGAAAGGGAATATTTCTAAATATAACAGTGGCACAATTAAAAATTAGAAAGGGGACAAACAATGGAAGATTATCATTCAATATAAATATGTGTATCACTATTAGAAACTCTATAAGTCTGTTAAATACAACAAATATGATTATTAATGTTTTTTATAGTAAAAGGAGTGATATTTGGAATATGGAGATTGGCATAAAAATAACATACTGAAAGACCGAATAATCAAATCATGAAAGATTATAATTCAACAAAATATGTGCATTATTACTAAAACTATATAAGATTGTCAACTGTAGTAAATATGAAGAATATTATTTTTATTTGTACTAAAATGTAAGACACTCAGGTGCCACACTGTTCACACAACCATGTGTTTGTAAAAATATTTTTAAAAACCTAATTAGGAGGAGGAGGACACACACACACACACACTCAAAGATGGCGTTAGCCATAAGAAAAATTTCACACCAATGAAAGTGCCCTCCGGCTGCAAAGAAGGTCTTACCTGGGCTTGAATAGGGCAGACTTACCTGGATGGAGTACATGATGATTTTAAAGCAATGGACGGCAAATTCATTTGGGTCCCATAGTTTGTGATGGCCTAAATGTCTGTTCAAAACAAATGATTTGTCTGTCAGTGCTACGGTGCGCACTGATGACGTTACCTAGTTGGGTCATGAAACGTCTGTAAGAAACCAAGCTCAGAGAGCACCAAGGACCTCTCAGTCTCCCTCCTCCCCCCCTTCCCCTTCCTTCCTCCTCCCCCTCCTCCTCTCCCTCCCCTTCTTCTTTCTCCTCCCTTTTCCTTCACCTCTTTCTTCCTCCTCCTCCTCCCCTTCTTCCTCCTCCTCCTCTACCTTCCTCCTCCTTCTCCTCTCATTCCTCCTTCTCTTCCTCTTCCCAAACTCCATTCCCTTCTAGCACTGATGACGTTACCTAGTTGGGTCATGAAACGTCTGTAAGAAACCAAGCTCAGAGAGTGCCAAGGACCCTTCAGTCTCCCTCCTCCTCCCTCCCTTCCTCTTCCTTCCTCTTCTTCCTTTCTCCTCCCCCTTCCTCCACCTCTTTCTTCCTCCTCCTCCACCTTCTTCCTCCTCCTCCTCCTCCTCTACCTTCTTCCTCCTCCTCCTCCCGTTCCTCCTTCTCCTTCCCGAACTCCATTCCCTTCTAGCACTGATGATGCTTCCTAGTTGGATCATGAAACATCTGCAAGGAAACCGCCGAGCTCAGAGAGCGCCCAGGAGCCCTCCCTTAATTCACGTCCGTCCAATACCGACTCCAGAGGGAAAGTTAAACAGTGAGGGGTGAGGCTGCATAGTCCGTGGCCAGGTTCTCTTCGCCACCCTGCTTTTTAGTTCTTCCTATGAGCCAGTCCAGTTTGCAAACATGGACTGACACAGAATGAAGCAGAAATCGGAAGGACTTGGGAGGAGCCCTTGTGTCAGGGGCTGCAGCTGTCCTGCCCCGCTTATCTCTCAACTCCTAGCAAAAACCCCAAAGGTTCTGGAGGATCCCACTTACGCAAAGACCGGCCTGACGGCGTTGCTCATGTTCCCGTAGGTTGCACGGGCCAGCAGTTCTCGGAAGCAGTTCTCGGCCAAGACAGCAGGGTTCTCCTCTTTCTCCCCCGATGGAGAAGCAGGTGGTCCAATTCGACTGGAAGGAAAAGAGACGCTGCTGGGAGAGGAATGCCAAGCTTGGCAGAGATGCTGAGGGCTACCAGCACTCCCAAAGGAAACATCTGGCTCCCCTGAGCTTCCTTGGCTGCTCTGTGCTCACAGCTGCTGCCACTTTGGAAACCTCAACACTGTTCAACATTGGTCAACATAGGTCAACCGAGGTTAGCACTGCTCAACAGCGGTCACCATTGGTCAACAAAGATTAAACAAAATCAACATCGGTCAATGAAAGGCAACAGAGGTCAACCAAGGTCAATAGTGATCAACCAAGATCAACAGTGGTGGACATTGGTCAGTTGAGATAAAGAGAGTTCAACAGTGGTCAACATTAGTCAATGGTGGGCAACTGAGGTCAACAGTGGTCAAATATTGGTCAACTGAGGTCAACCAAAATCAACAGCGGTCATCATTGGTCCACAAAGTCAACCAAACTCAATACTAGTCAATGAAGGTCAGCCAAGGTCAAAAGTGATCCAAAGTGGTCAACCAAGGTCAACAGTGGTCAATTGAGATGAAAAGAGTTCGACAGTGGTTAATGTTAGTCAACTGAGGTCAACAGTGGTCTGTACTGGTCAACCGTGGTCAACAGAACTCATGATTAATCAACATTGGTCAATTGAGGTCAACCAAGGTCATGGGGAAGCTCAAAGGGGGAAGAAGACACAGCCTTCCTCAAGGCAGACATACCCCTCAAGGTCTTCCGTCTTCTGCATGTTGAAAAGCAGGGAGGGGACGATCTTGTCCATGTGTTGAGGCTCCCAGATGGTGGCCCGGAGCTCATCATTCACAGTCTTCCTCACGACTCCCTGGATGCCCCTGATGCCGGCGATCCGGATCCTTGCGGGAAGAGGCAGAAATGTTAGGCAACTCAAGGGAACGGGTGAATGGGTGACCAATTGCCCTGCCAGTCCCATTTCCAAATCAAATCCTGTGCGGGAAGACGGGGTGGGGTCTGGTGAAGCGATATTGGGGGGGGAGGACGGACAGAAAACATGCCAAGAGAAGTCAGCACATTTGCTGCTCCTTGACTTACTTGTAGCAGTTAAGTTACTAGCCCCCTTTCTTTTTATTGCTCAAGCTGCCACTTGCAGAAACCAGAACAAGAGGATTGGAAGGGACTTCGGAGGTCTTCTAGTCCAACAACCGCCTGCTCAAGCAGGAGATCCTGGACCATTCCAGACAAATGGCTGTCCCATCTTTTCTTAAAAGAGCTGTGGTGGTGTTGTGATGATCCAGAGCGTAACACAAACGTAACCAAATCCAAAACGTAAATAAATGTCCTTCAATGCCTCCAACTTGGCCCCACTGTTCAATAATTCTCAGCTGGAGATAAAACGTACTCAAAAATAGTCTTCAAAAGAGAGCAATACAGTCCGAACTTAATGAGAAGATAAGAGGTGAAATAAAAAACCAAAACAAACTACAATGAAGGAATTTCCACAATGGAGCAGGATAAATATTTATCCAATTCACAAGGCACAGTCTGGGGGAAAGATGCCAACCAAGATAACTTCAGACCAAAATTAAACACGCTTTGTTTCCAGCGTTTGCCAGTACCCAGGTCCAAACTCTTATTCAGTTGTCACACCTGCAGCCCACGAAGAGGATCAAGGCCCTCTCCTCCCGAGGAGACCATGTCTCTCCTTTATCCTCTCCTCCCTGCGTGCCCTAGGATGGATAACGGATGGGCCTGGGTCCTCCTCTGACTGCTCAGCCGGCCTCCGCCCTTCCCCAGTCTCCTCCACCACCTCCGGAGCCACATTCCCACTCCCTGTCGGCTGTTCCTCCTCGCCCTCAGAGTCCGTCTCCGCCAGGGGCCTGACAGGTGCAGTGGTTAGAATGCAGTGCTGCAGGCTAACTTGGCTCACACTGCCAGGAGTTCGAATCCCTCAATCCCGACTGACTCAAGGTTGACTTGGCCTTTTGTCCTTCCAAGGTCCGTAAAAGGAGGACCCAGATTGTTGGAGGCCAGAGGCCAAACCTCTTAAGAACTAAGGAGAAACTTCCTAAGAGTGAGGACAATTAACCAGTGGAACAGGAGTTGCCTTCAGAAGTTCTGGCTGCTTCATCCCTGGAGGCTTTTACGAAGAGACGGGACATTTGTCTGAAATGGTATATAGTCTCCTGCCTGGGGCAGGGGGCTGGACTAGAAGACCTCCAAGGTCCCTTCCAACTCTGTTATTTTATTCTATTCTGATCTGTTCTGTAGCAGGTGGATATGTATAAATATATATAGCATATTGTGTGTGCGTGTGTGTGTGTGTGCATGGAAAAAAGTGATCCTTTTTATCTAAAAAGGGATAAAACCGTGTTTGGCTGAGATTCA